CAGGAGCTGACTGTGGCTCAGATCATGAGCTTCTCTTTGCAAAATTTAGGCTTAAATTGAAGAAAGGAGGGAAAAGCACTAGGCCACTCAGGTATGCACTAAATCATATTCCTGCTGAATATACAGTAGAGGTGACAAATAGATTTAAGGAATTAGATCTGATAGACAGAGTGCCTCACGAACTATGGATGGACATTGTACAAGAGGTAGCAACTAAAACCATCCCAAAGAAAAAGAAATGCAAGAAAGCAAAATGGCTGTCTGAGGAAGCTTTACAAATAGCAGAGGAAAGAAGGGAAGCGAAAGGCAAGGGAGAAAAGGAAAGATACACCCAACTGAATGCAGAATTCCAGAGAAAAGCTAGAACAGATAAGGACTTCTTCAATGAACAGTGAAAAAAATAGAAGAAAACAATAGAATAGGAAGGACCAGAGATCTCTTCAAGAAAATTGGAGATATGAAGGGAACAAAAGATGGGCATGATAAAGGACCAAAATGGCAGGGACCTAACAGAGGCAGAAGAAGAGGTGGCAAGATTAGACAGATGAACTATACAAGAAAGAGCTTAACGTCCCTGATAACCATGATGGGGTGGTCACTGACTTCGAGCCAGACATCCTGGAATGTGAAGTCAAATGGGCCTTAGGAAGTCTGAGCAACAACAAAGCTAGTGGAGGTGACAGTATTCCAGCTGAGCTATTCAAAATCTTAAAAGACAATGCAGTACGTCCCACCACTTGCCTATTGGATCCTTGCCCGTCTTGGTTAATAAATAACTGCAAGCACGGGATTGGGACCTGGATCTTGGAAGTGGTTAACGCTTCTCTGAGGGAGGGTCGAGTGCCTCCCCCTTTAAAGGAGGTGGTAATATGACCGGTCCTGAAGAAATCGTCACTGGATCCAGAGATGGCCACTAACTATAGACCAGTGGCCAACATCCCGTTTCTGGGCAAGGTGTTGGAGCGAGTGGTGGCGGGACAACTCCAAGCACTCTTGGATGAAACTGATTATCTGGATCCCTTTCAGTCCGGCTTCAGACCCGGGTACAGTACTGAATCTGCCTTGGTCGCCCTGTACGATGACCTGTGCAGGGAGAAGGACAGGGGGAGTGCATCCCTGTTGGTT